TGAAGAATAGCATTGCTGGATATAGCAGTCTTGGTTGACAGGTATTTTTTTTTCATCACATCATTCCAAGTCCTTCTGGCTTTTATAGTTTGTGCTGAGAAATCAAAAGTAATTTTGATTGGCTTGACTATAAATGTGACATGATGTTATCCCTGGAGGTTTTAAAAATTCTATTCTAGTTCTAGTTCTGTATATTAGTCATTTTAATTATAATGTGTCATGGAGAGGTTTTTTGTTGATCTTGGCTGTTGTGAATGTCTCCTGTATCTGGATGTCCATCACATTCTGAAAGTTGGAAAGATTTTTTATTATTATTTCCATGAAGAGTTTATCAATTCCCTTAGCCTGCATCTTACAACTATCTTCAACTCCCTGATTCTTAAATTTGTTTCTTAATGTTGTCCCAGAGATCTTGTATAGCTTCATCATGTTTGCTTATTTTCTTTTCTTTAATGTCATCTGAATGTTCAGGGCCAGACACTTTGTCTTCCAGTTCTGAGATTCTGCCTTTAGTCTAGTCTACTCTATTAGAAAGACTTTCAACTGAACATTTTGTTTGATTTATTTTGTCTTTAATTTACAATGGTTCTTTTTCAATATTTCTATCTGTTTATTGAACTTCTCATTCATATGATATACTGACTTCTTAATTCATTCGGTAGTTTTTCTGTGGTCCCTTGAAATTCACTGATCATTTTAATGTTTCTTTTGAATTCTTTATCTGATATTTCATCCACTTAATCAGTTGCTGATAAGTAACAAACTTTAGGAGGTGTCATTTTACCTTGTTTTTCATATTTCTTGTACTCCTGTGTTGTGTTTTATGCATCTTTGGAAGATATTTCTCTTCTACTCTTATGTATGGGCCATTTTAGGACTCATTACCAAAGTGAAGTTCTGGGAAACTACAGCAATATTACTGTGTTCACTTACCAAAGTGTCCTAGAGTAATTTACATTGAAAACTCCTCATAAGTGTGGTATCCACAGTCTTTGTGCTAATTCACTGCTTTTGCTATAGCAGTGGATATTTGAAGATGGGACCTGAGGGTCCACACTTATCCATTTCTACTTGGGACCTGGTTGTAAGTTTGTGTTTCTGTCTCTTCTAGTCATTAAAGTACACCTGAATTTGAGTGTCATTTATTTGTGTGTGGAGCAAGGTGTGCTGTTTAGGTTGAGTTTAGTTCAATAGCAGAGTCTCTACCATGTTAACTTCACAGAATAGGGCAAAACAAAAAATAGCTACAATCGATGCAAACAATATATAGCATTAAAATAAATACCAAGGACCTTATATGATATGTATAACATTAATTACTACCCAAACCAAAAAATGGTGAGATTAGCAACTTTCAACAGTAAAAACAATTACCATAAACTATATATGGTTTTAAGGCAAACAGCTTGTGTTGACTATGTTATCCACAGCAGTAATAATTGCATCAGATTTAATGGTGGGGGCAGGAGTTATATAAACCAATTAGTTCTAAAAGATGGTAAAAATACAGTTAATTAAGAGAAAAGAAAATGTGCTAGGAAGGTAGAAAAGAGTTTACAATTTCAAAAAGTAAACAGAATGCAGAAGAGATGTAGCAGTTGATAGTTATAAGGATGGAGGAGAAAATGGAAGAAACAAAGTAAATAGGAGAGAGAGAGAGAGAGAGAGATAACAATAGAACTTTTCTGTTAGAAGAAAAGAAACAAATGACAACCATACAAAAAATATATAAACAAATAAAAAACTTTAACCCTCAAAAGACAAGGCAGGGAAAAATAATGCATTTAAAAATGCTAAAAATGAGGGGGATAAAACCAAATATGTACATTAAAAATGGACTTAAACCAATCAGCACAGACATCTCTCCTTCTCTCTCTTATTCTCTCTCCCCCCCCTCACACACACACAAAGAGAGCGAGAGAGCTGCCAGTTGGAGTGGTTTAAGACTCAAGCTGATTGAAATAAGTCTCACCTTCCCTTCTCACCAACATGAGATAGGATGAAGTGGAAAACACTGTCAATTGGAGTTCTGTCCACACATATTATTGCATTCCCAAGGTGGAGTTGCTGCAAAGTTCTTCAAATGGAGTTCTGAAAGTTGGGGATTAGGTCTTCAGGCCACAGGGGCTTTGTTGGTGACATCTGTTCTGGAGACATTAGATCAACATACTCCTACGGCCTTGTAGTTGCTAATCTCTATTGGGAGTCTGGATCTCAAGAGCCTCCCAAGAATTCTAGTTCTGGGGCAGGTGAACTAATCTTCCCCACACTCTGCTGCCCAGAAACATATTTGCTAGGCTTGATCCCTGAGTGTATTTACATCTAGCAGTTCAGATTTCCAATTAGTTTCAGCTGGTCATGTGAGCTGCCAGACTAAAAAGGAAAAGCAAGTTGGTGCCCCTTTCACTTTTCCAACTTGAATCCCACTGGGCACAATCTTTTCTGTGCCTATTTTACTCATGTTCTCCTAGATCATACAGTAGGCACCTAATGGGACAGTGTGACACTGTTTTCTAGGATGACCTCTTGGCTCCTGAAGTAGCAGCTGCAGCATATTTACTTCAAAATGGCTCCCACCTCAGCTCTCTGGTCAGTTGGAAAACAGAACTTTTCAAACACCAATGCACAGAGCATCCTCTGGATCAGCTAAGATCAAGCTACTTTTCTGATCTCGGGTTTTTCCATACCAAATCTGTATTTCTCTCTGTATTATTCCTCCCTCTATGGTGAACCAGCACCACTACCACTACTGCTGCCCCAAGCAGCTCTGCTCTATTGTACTCTTTCTTCTTCATTTAATGAACCCAAGTTACTCTGGCTGTCCAATGTTAAACTTTAGTGAAATCCCTCTTTCACCCACCTCACTGAGGAACAGTACTCCCATTGCTTGAATCCCAAGCCGTGGAGCAACTAAGAATGAAGTCTTTCTCTATTCCATCATCTTGAATTTCCCAAGCATGAAGATTTAAAACCCCAAATTAAGGTATTTTCATGGTTGCACTCCTTCTGAAACATCTAAGGAAGAAACTTTTCTGCCTCTTCTATCTTCTGTCATTCCTTGAATTATAACAGCATAACTCCAACCTCTGCCTGAACCCTTACCTGAAAGTCTCCCTTCTGTGTGTATCTATACTCTCCAATTTTTATAAGGATATCAATTATATTAGTTAATAGTTCATCCTATTTCATTATGACTTCATAATAACTAATTATATCTGCAACAGTCTTACTTTCAAATAAGGCCACTCTGTAGTAGCAAGGATAAAGAATTTCAACTTCTTGAGGGACACATTCAATTTTTAACAACTAGTATATACAAATGCAACTGACTTTTTGCTTATTGATCTTGTATATATTCAGCTTGATAAATTCATTTCCTACAGGTTCGGCTTCCTTTTTCCAAAATGCTTGAGGCCAGAAGTATTTCAGATTTCAGGCTATTTCAGATTTGGGAACATTAGCATAGATTTTACAAATTGAGCATCACTAATTAGAAAATCTGAAGTCCAAAATGTTCCAAATCCAAAACATTTTTAGCATAATGTTGGCACTCAAAAAGGTATGGCAGTGCATGCCTGTAATCCCACTGGCTCATGAGGCTGAAGTGGGAAGATCACAAGTTCAAGATTAACTTCAGCAACTTAGCAAGATCTTCAGCAACTTATTAAGACCCTGTCTCAAAATAAAAAATTAAAAGGACTGGGGATGTAGCTCAGTGGTAAAGTGCCCCTGGGTTCATTCCCTAGTACACCCCCCCAAAAAAAAGTTTCAAAGTAGGGCAGGAGGTGGAGGAAAATGGGAACATGTTTGTGAAAAGAAAAAAGTTACATAGCAGTAATAAGTTCTAGAGTTCTACAACATGTTGATTATAGTCAATAATGATATATTGCAGAATTCAACATCTCTAAGAGAGTAGATTTTTAAAGTTCTCACCACAAAAATCAATAATAAGAATGTGAGAAGAAGATTACCTCTAGATAGGGAAGAGAGGTGGGAGGGAAAAGGAGGAAGAAAGGGAATTGCATGGAAGATGGAAGGAGACCCTCATCGTTATACAAAATACATCTATGAAAATGTGAGGGGAAAAAACGTGTGTCACATTAGATTGGATAGAGAGAAGTGATGGGAGGGGAAGGGAGGGGTAGGGGGGAAAGGAAGGACAGCAGAATAAAATAGACATTATTATTGCTGTGTGTATATATGTGACTGCATGATCAATGGGATTCTGCAACCTGTACACTCAGAAAAATGAGAAATTATATCCCATCTGATTCAAATGTATGATATGTCAAGATCATTGTACTGTTGTGTTAACTAATTAAAACAAAAAATTTTTAAAAAAGAATGTGAAGATGGTGAATATGCTATATTGCTTAATTTGGATATTCTACAATGTATGCACAAATCAAAACACCATGTAGTACACCATCAATAAACATGATTTTATTTGTCAATTAAAAGAAAAAGTACATTTACTTACAGAGGAATTATATGAATTTACCAGTGAAAAGACTATACACAAACTACATTTTGTATCATTTGATTTTTCTTATTTTTTCAAACTATGGTAAAACATATATAACATAAAATTAACAATCTTAACCATTTTAAGTACTGTTCTGTTATGTTAAGTGCATTAACATTATTTTATAACCAATATCCAAAACTATTTTCATTACATAAAACTAAAGTTATATTATATGCATTAAAAAATAATTCCCCATCTTCCCCTCTCCTTGTCACTTTGCAATCATCATTCTACCTTCTGTCTCTAAATATCAGACTACCCTAGATAACTTATGTAAGGGGATTCATACAGTATTTGTCTTTTTACGATTGGCTTATTTTACATAGTACAATGTCCTGTTATTCATGTCATAGCATAGATAAAGCATTTTGTTTAAGGCTAAATAATAATCCATTATATGCATATACCACATCTTGTTTATTCATTTATACATGCTATAATTAGGGGAAAAAGAGTTGTTTTAAAAGTTTACCTTTTCAACATATCTGACTGTTTTTCAAATACTTTCAACATCATATCGAATTGGTTAGTCACCGAAGCAGCATCTATTATAATAAAAGTAAAGGCATTAAAATGACTGAAGTTATAGTTCTATGCTAATATAACTCATGCACTAGATGTTAAAACTAAATAAGCATAATTAGGAGATAGGAGGGTGACATGAATACTAAATAGCAAAATGCTTATGATGAATGAAAATATAATTTTATTAAATACCTATTATGTGCAAATCTCCATGTTACTTTGCATTTTCTTAATCCTTAAAATAACTCAAAAAAGAAAGTACCATCACTATTTTTAAATTAATAAATTCAGGCTCAGAGAGATTATATAATTTAATCAAAACTTGGCCTCTGATAAATTAAAAACATTACTGAGGTCCAGCAAATGTAAACTATATGTGATAGAGCACATCAGAGGACTTTAGTCTATTAATAAAGATTTATTTTGGTTGCTGCTGCTAAAGACAATGGAAAGAATATGTCTAACCTATTGTTTTCCAACTGTATCAAATAAATAGGAAACTGAGATGCTTCTTAAAAAGGTAAACAATAATCCTTTTTAAGGATTCATAATAATCAATGGGAAAACAAGACTTTTCAGTCTTGGGACATAAAAAGTACAAGACAGAAGACAGTCACTGCATCAGGTTTTCTACTAAACAAGATATGACATGTACAAAGAAAATGTTAAATAATATGGAAACATATAAATTGATGCATAACTGTAGTAGTGGGGTTGTTGGATTATATAGTGGTTCCTATCATAATTCAAAACAGTATTTTAAGAGCAATCTGATAATAGCATACAACATGATTTAAATTTATATCCTGAATATGTTGAAGAATTATGAGGAACAAAAACTGTTATTCTGGTTACAATTTGAAAATGCAATATTCAGAAAGAATAAAAGGCCATTATCTATCTATGACTCCACTAACTTAGGATCTTCAACTCAGTATTATTACAGGGCAGCAGCCTGCTGTGAAGCCAAGGCAGCTGCAGAGGCCCCCACTTTGTAGCAATTCTTGCAACCATGGTAAAAGGATTTCAGACATGTCACTTCAAGTAGTGGGCATGACTTTATTAGAGGGGATAGGAAAAGGAAAAAGGAAACACTCTCAAAGGAAAGAATGGATCATTTCATAGAGGAGAAGAATGGCATACCCCCTCCTGCCCTCTAATTTTATTGGAGATCCCAGGAAAATTTCAAGAGAGTCTTGCCCCAGTCCACCTCTTGACTTTTGACTGATAGCTGGATGACATCAGACTTTCAAGTCCCACTGCACATGGCAACTCTAGGTCACTTTGGTTCATGTTGACCTGTTTTAATTGAAACCTGCTCTTACAGATTTTATGATTGGGAAATTAGCCTTAATCCTCTTGGGTTCTGGGATCTGGTCTGTGTAAAGCTCACAAAAGTTCCCTACTTCAGGGTGTCAAGAGTGGCAAATAAATTATTGCTTTTAACTCCATGGCCTTGGACAGCTTGACTGCCATATTGGGGAATCTTTTCATGCAAAGATGTAGAAAGATATGCCCATTTGCAGGCAGCCACTGTTAATGGGGAAGAATCCATGCCTAGTGTGGAATTTATGAGTTCCATAGCTTTGAATTTAGATGCCTTGGATAAAAGAGATACCAGCATGCCTAAACAGCCTTGACACACCAGCTGCCTGGAGGAGGACGAATTACCATGCAAGTGTTAAGTCCCCAACCAGCCCAACTTCCCCACAGCTGCTTCTTCTTTACCTTGAGGAATCCCTCCTCACAATAAATTCTTTTGGTGTGTTTCACTATAAGTAAAGCCTTCATGGGCTTTTCCCTTTGTTAGGATCAGATCCATCAGGTCTCTTCCACCCATCATACCCCTGGCTTTGAAAACCATTTCTCTGTGTTGTTTGCTTTCTTTCTTTTTTAAAAATATTTTTAATTTAGATGAATACAATATATTTATTTATTTTTATGTGGTGCTGAAGATTGAGCCCAGTGCCTCACATGTGCTACCACAGAGCCACAACCCCAGTCCCTGCCTTATTTCTTAATACTACTTTTCCAGACTTTTAATTTCAGCTGCCCCACACCTCTGATTGTTATTTATTCCATCCCCATGCAGGCTATAGGTGGCATCAGGGTAAATTTGTGTTCTTTTTATTGGAATTTTCAGTTTGTATTTCCTCTGCAGGTATCATGCTGTTGCTGAGGAATGTGATATATCCTGTCAACTTAAATCAGGCAGGGGTATGGGTATATTGCTTTTGAAAAATGAAAGCATATGGAGATCAGCACAGTAGACCCAGTTTAGACAGTTATTCCTTCAACCTCACCACTCACATATGTCTGTTTCCTGTCATTTTCCCCTCAAGGATTTTGGGTCCCTAAATGTTTTTAGGAGACGTGGAAATCAATTTGATCTGGCTGCTTCTTGCTGAGAGAGGACAAAGTTATGGGGGGTAAGCAATCAAAAGTCATTTTCTATCAGGTTGAGCATGGACAGTTAACAGTACTTAGCATCAGGGAAGTCCAGAGGTCCATAATGGCAGCTGACAGGTGACTGATTGGCCAAAGTATGTATAGAGCAGAGATCATGTTAGTAGGTGAAACTTTTGAAATTCCTTTGGGCCATAATGACTCCTTCCCTCCAAAGGAGGCAAAACTTGTGAAATTCCTGTCTTTTGTATTAAGGCACACATTTCCCACTTTAAAAGCTTTTTTCATCCTAGAACTTCTCAAAGATAGAATATTTTGGAACAAATAAGCATCTTCTATCTTTCTTGAAAACTAGTTTTGAATAAAACATATTTTCCTATCAATTTAGTTCCAAATATTCCTGGAGCAACAAGATTGTAGCCTATCCCCACACACACCTCCAGGGCAGTATTAGAGCCACTTAGTAATAACTGGACCAACAGATTTGTAGGAAGAATGAAAAATATTTCCAGACAAATATACTTTTGAAATAATGAGATTATTTTATTGACAAGTTTAAAAGTTTTTATAGAAATTTGAATATTTAAAGATACAAAAGTAACATATAACCATTCAACAGACAGAAATATAAATTTCCCCTTTCCACCTATAATTCTCCTTGCATCCTCTAATCTATCCATCCCCTAGGCCTCCTGACTACTAATAATAGTTTGACGTATATAATTATGAATTTTATTTCTATATAAGTATAAATCTATAGAGATAAAAATAATCACATAAGTGTATCACATAAAAAATTATTTTTCTGGCAGCTAATATGAAATTCCTTTGAAAGAAACATCAGCATTATTGAGCAAATAGGGTAAATAGGTTCTCCTAAGCAGAGTAAAGATTCAACTTTGTGAAAGACCCTTGCTTTCAAGCATTAACAATTTTTCTGCAATATAAAATAATAAAGGGAATATGTAACCTCATAAAAGTATCCCAAGTTAACAATGTGGCCTATAGGGTAACTTTGAAATAGCAAAAGTGGTTAAAAGGGGCTTAATTGTATGCTTTATATTGGAGATAGATAACCCCTTTTATATAACATACACTATTTTGTGAATTAGTAAGTAGTTATTAACAATATATGCATAATATTTTTAATATTTTTTCCTCCTTGGGTGAGACCTACAATGCAGATATACAGATAGATTATAAAATGGGATAAAAATGGACATACTATGCTTTTACCTTGCATTTTCACTTTGAATGTCAAGGAAAATTCTGCAAAGCAATTAAAATAGGATTATCTTATTTTAGTACACAGTGTTCTATTGCTATCAACAAATTTATTTAATTAGTCAAAATGTATTTTTATGATTTTGTTTTTACTAATATACTAACAATAGCAATATTGGTGAAAAAATCTAAATGTAAACTGTATAAATATTAATGAGAGAATAATAAACTGTGACAAAGAATGCAAATCCAATATAGCCATTAAAAATGCTTAGACATGACTCATGAGAATGAGGCAGAAGGATCACAAGTTCACAGCCAGTCTCAGCAACTTAGAAAGACCCTGAATCAAGATAAAAAAATATAAAGAACCAGGGATGTAGCTCAGTAAAATGTTAAATACTCAATACACGAAAGAAACAATGCTTAGACATTCATGCCAATATTTCTGTGAGACATTTCTAAAAATAAAGTTTTGGGGTTTTAGGTACATTGTTTCTATTTTCAAAAGATAATAGCATAGTGAGATCCATTAATTTCCTAGGAATTTCTATTAAAGTATGAGAAAGTGCATTTCTCCACATCATCACTTACACCTACACCTAAATGTTATTAATATTTAACTTCAATATTTTTTTGGATGTAAATTTTTTTAAATGCTTATTTGGGTGCTCATTTAAAGGTATCCAATCACATCATTGCCAAATAAGTTTGACCCCAAAGGCATTGTGTTTTCTCTAGTATCTCTGGTCTGCATGTGGCCCTTTACTGGCCTATTGGGTGCTATTTGGGGCCTACCTCATGAAGTTGGCAGTGCCCAGTGAAATAGAGTCAGTGGAGGTAGTAGAGGCAGCTGCTGATTCTTTAATATGGCTGGTGGTAGATTTTAAGTATTCTAATTAATTGTACTTTTTATTGATTTTTTTAAATAAATGACAGCAAAATGTATTACAATTCATATTACACATATAGAGGACAACTTTTCATATCTCTGGTTGTATCTAAAATACATTCACTCCAATTTGTGTCTTCATACATGTACTTTGGATAATGATGACCATCACATTCTACCATCATTGCTAACACCCTGCCCCCTCCCTTCACTTCCACCACCCTGCCCTATCTAGAGTTCATCTATTCCTCCCATGCTCCTGCTCCCTACCTCACTAGGAATCAATCTCCTTATATCAGACAAAACATTTGGCATTTGGTTTTTGGGGATTGGTTAACTTCACTTAGCATTATCTTCTCCAACTCCATCTACTTACCTGCAAATACCATGATTTTATTCTCTTTTATTGCTGAGTAATATTCCATTGTATATATATATACCATGTTTTTTTAATCCATTCATCTATTGAAAAGCATCTAGGTTGGTTCCACAGTTTAA